CCACTCTATAATTTTAGGATTAGGTCTATTATAAGCGCAGTGCTAATATCATAGTAGACCATAGTTCTACATTGGTGAGCCCAACTAAAGAAACGTAACCTATTATTAATCCTTATTTCCACTTCAACTTTTTCGATCGATTTTATATTTATGTTAACCCTGTATTCTAATAGTCCTCTGATTAATGCTCACATGCATTATCGTAACGTTATATTGATTAGACCTCATGACACACTAGCTCAATCGATAATAAAAACTGGTCGTCTTTATTAACTAATTAGTTTTGATGGTTCGTTAACAAGGTTTAATAGCATTCACATGCTTCAGCGACATAGACTTGTTTAAGCGTCAATCCCTAGCAAATATGACCTGTAAATAACGTAAATATACATTGACTAACAATGCATTCAAGGACTAAATAGTTGTCTGGATCTAATTCTTAGTGTCCCTTCACCTCATCATGTTTTAAACTATACGCTATCCTATAATATCTTTTCTTCTAACCACTGCCTGCCTAATTTCATGTTTTCGAGTTCCATCGCCAAACAGCAAGGATGACACTTCTCCAAAAACATACGGTGAGTTTCAGCTATAAACTTCCTGCAATAATAAAGTCATTTTAGATGACTCGTTCAATGGCAACCACACAATTATCTGGATTCATTCGATTGTTCTGATCCGAGCGAGTGGCGAAAACGCCAATAGCATCAAGCACCCTGGAATTAATTGCCATACTGCATGTTTTATTCTGGATACTTTTGGATCATTTCTACTCCTCACGAATGGCGTTATATATGTCGTCCACTGAATAATCTGATTTTCAAAAATAACCCAGGCGAGTTCAACTATTTTACTTAATGATTTTTTGTACTTAACATGTATATGTTTTCTAGTTGCTTTTGTCATATATTTGTAAGTGTCCCTAGGCTAAATGCATTAGCTTCTTACGGAATGTTTATAACGCATCATATTCCTGCCTGAAGTTTCATAAGCAGTCTTAACTTTAAAATTATCTTTCTGATCATGTTCATTATTTTCATATTGTCATATACGTCAACAACCTGCATGTTAACCTGGCCCGTACATACGTTGCACTATATCTTCATGTCTTCTAAATTTAGAAATCATTTGAATCACCTTTAACATTTATCGATAAACCCATAGTTGTTGTTGCTAATCGTATTTGGGTTTATGGATTGGTTTATCATATTAGCAGCCTAAAATGCGGACGTAGTTTAGATAATAAGATTACAAATTTAGGTACTATCAACCGCACTAGTCAAATAACTAAATCCTCAGGTAGCTGTTGGCTAAACAAACGTTTGAAATCAAAACTCCGTAGCCTACTAGAATTAACACTAAACGAATATTTCTGAATTGAAATTTATAATTAAATTAGGCGTCTCGGATTCTTTAACGTTATAAATTTCTGATAATTTCGAATCACCTAAAGCAACAATACCTATTTTTCCACTGACTAATCCTCATCAACACTATAACTAGTTAAACGTAACAGTTTCAGGATATCGTCATAAAGCATTGTCATGACTTGACAATCACGTAATATGATTGATGAAATTAATGAAATTATTAACAAAATCGGTCAGCAAATTGACTTATAATTATCACTAGTGTTGTTTTTCTTTTATCTTCATTCACTACAGGTGATTACAGTATGTTTCTCTATCAGTTGTTCATTTAGTAAATATCTCAAAACCTTGTCAGTCTAATTGGTGGTTTAGCGACACAATCATGCATGCAAATAATCAGTATAAGCGGTCGAGCAAATCTCCTGCAAACTGAAAACATTAATGTCGAATTTACCCCAACACTGACTAAGGTTCAAGCCATTATCATAGACATGAGTTGGGAGTGTACTCCCCTTGGTTACAACTTATGTTCTCCCTGATAATCACATGAGCATCACTCACTAATAATCATCTTGTAAAAACTTATTTAGCCAAATACATCTTGCAGCACCACATCACTAGTAATGTGACACATAAGCTGATTTCAATAACTTATAACCACTATATCTCAATTAAATCGTATTCCGCCTTATGATAAACTGCATACTTGCAACTAACTTGTATGCTCATCAGCCGTCAGGTATAAATATGTATAAATAGACTATGGCAACTCAGAACATTGAGTCTAGAGCATGTCTCTTACGAATACACTCATGTTTAACGATTTGTTCTTAGCTATCTGTCCAAAATTCGTACAATTATCACTAACGTATTTAAATTTTGTTTTGAAAACCATTCATGTGTATTAGTAGTATTACTAAATTCTATCATAGTCAAGTAAAAATGAGGTTGAGAAAGTCTACCCGTAACTAAATAAACCGTATCAAACTAACCGGAACACTAGTTGGAATTCTTCTCACGGTATACTTTTGTTCCTTCAGTTAGCCTACTAATACAGATGCAATTGGAAATCAACTCATATGGACAGCTGACCGGCATAATCGTTATTTGATTTCATAATTTAAACCAAAACTAATACCAATATTAACATTTCTACAATATTCATTACTTTAACATTTCTAAACACAAAATACTTACTACCTATACGTTAAGTTATTAACCAACGGCTTTTAGCACGCATCGATTTGTTATTATTATTATTGTTATGCCACTCTTTTTGGTTCCAATAATCTTCACCCAAATTTTCGTCTCAAGCGTTTTAAGCATGAAGGCAGATATTTTAAAATGATTACATGTATTTCCCGACCAGATGCTGCCGCTTTCTTTTTGACTTATCTTTCAGCTTACCAATACCCGGAGGATTCTTATTATCCTTGGTAACCTCAGGCGCGCGACGATCCCATCCAATTTGGTATCCAACCAACATCACGTTGATTCTGGTGGGAGAGTAGTGTAGTGGCACTGGACAATAGCCACACAATCCACAAAGCTGTGAACACGAGACTACTCAGAAAATAGATATTCAATATTTAACGCGGATAAATACCTAACAATGGAGAAGGCGCGAACAATGAATTGAATGAGCTGGAGTTGATCGAATGGCATGGCTCGGCCATGCAGGCGTGGTCCCTGTTATCTTATATCTTTTATTCGTATTAAATATATTGTCCTATCTCTAGCCTAAGCTTGTTCTCCATCATGTATTGATAATTGTTATGATGCAATGAGTCAGTGTAGACGATGATGTGACTTCCACTCTATAATTTTAGGATTAGGTCTATTATAAGCGCAGTGCTAATATCATAGTAGACCATAGTTCTACAGCCATAAGAATTTGGTTATACGCTTTAACCAAGTCGATTTTGGAAAAGACATTTGTACCTTTCAATGTAGCTGTCAAATCGTGAATGTGGGGCAACGGGTAACAATCGGGAATGGTTTTTGCATTTAATTGATATGCACTCACTCAACTGTACTTCCTATTCTGTATGATTCTTTAATGCAAAATTTCTTTCTATTTTCTTCAACGTGAACTTCTTGGTTCTCTGCTTCCATGCATTCCACTACTGATCGGTGTTACATACTACTTGTGTTGAAAGATATAAGTAGCATGCACCAGATCACTACCACGCACCTATGAACTTCCGAAACCGAGAAAACCTAAGTGAGCGCTCGCACAGTATGGAGAACGACCTTACCAGCTACATCTGTAAGGCAACAGCAGAAAGGCCCACACGTCTTGGTGTCGATTGAAGATAATTAACAACCTACGGTACAGAACACAGGGATCACGGTCCATCTAATGGAACGCACTATACTAACAAAAACCCTACAAAGGTCAGTTCGCACAAAACTGCCCAACACACTATTAACATCAATCAGTTCAAAACCCGGAGGACAAATGCTGCGGCAGGAGAGCACCAAACTATCATGTGTATCTATAGGTACGTAAGAGGACTGCAGGATAAACTAGAAAAGTTTTAAACCAGAGAGCGAACACCTGGGTACACTGCCACTCTCGCTCACTGAGATTTTCTCTATATGTAATCTTGTTACAAAGAAGTGACTGGATGGATTTAAAATGTGTCTTGACAAAAAAGAACTCACATATAGATTACCCCATCCATTTCGGACTAGCATTGTCCGATGCATGTCACATAGTTTACTGTAGCCATCGTTATCACATATCAACGACTACTCCCTAGTTCTCTTATTATCATCTCGGTCGCCCCTCTTATCCTTTCAATTTCGTCTCATTGCAAATTACCAATTAATTAATCTGTCATTCTTCAAACAATCAACTTCTTTAGCGCTACAATTATCACTCTATTATTTCCACATTGGAATCAACCAACTTCCTGTCTGATATCGTGGTAACTTTCGGTATCCTCAAACTCTACCGCACTGAGATAAACACATTCTAATTACAAGATATACAAATTCACAGATAAAAGAAAAACTGACTAGAATTAGTGCAGTCGAATAGCTAACTTACAACCAATCGGACATTGACAGTTACTTTTGGCTAAAAAATTATCAGTTTATATTAGCTCGTGACGAAGTATTGGATATTGAATTTGTTTAAGCACTTCAAACTATATTTTTTAGGTCATGCATTCAATCAAAGTACTACCTCAGTTTTCGAAAATAAAACAATGAGTCGCAACTCCATAGATTATGGCACCTCTATGGAACCAAAGTCTCAGTGGAGTTTGATGCAGACTTCATTGTTATCCTCATGTTTTGTGTCGATGACTATGTTTTCGAAGTATCCTTTGGACCAATACCTTGGTTCCGGTTGGTCATGCCTATGCTTTATTATGTTCCATACGATCTATAGTTTTCCGGTAATATATCTGCAATTTAGACTTTTAGCCGCTCCCCTGAGGGCATATTAGTACTTTTTGACAGATATGTCCCCATATTTAATAGTAAGTTTCTCGAATACTTATTTGCGGTTATCAGTCTTTTCAGTCATAGCCATCTTGGCTAACTTCATTAAATTTATCATCGGAGCTTACTTTCTCGCTATATCCTTTGGATATCTGTTTTTCACATTTTATAATTGTGATGGCAGGAACTGCATCGGTGGAACATATATATGGGGATCATGCTTGGATTCCTGGAGCGAAGGGGATTGCAAGGAGTAAGAATTGAATTTACCCTTGGATAAATGTATTTAGCAACTACAGAATAGTACATGCAGGTCCAGTACCAGAGGAAAAATTTATTCTGTAAGTACTTTGGTTCTATCAAACAGAGACTTTTGGTAGATTTTAGACGTTGAGCATGATAATGACTGACCTTGCTACGTTGGTACTCATCGTTTCATGGTCATCAGCTTAGCAATATGATATAAGACAATGGTGGACACAAGGAAGACTTTGCTGTACTAAGTATTTGCAATACGAAAGCAGCTTTTAAAAAGATACACACTAGAAGACCCGAAAGTTTGAAGTCAGTCAAACTACATGTGTATGTAGTCATGAGAAGAACAAATTGAGACAGTGATTAAGAGACTGAGTTATGGAACGTTTCAGCCATTTATTTGATACGGATGTAGAAGATTCAACTATATGTAGATATAATTAAGTCTAAACACGTCATAACACCCATTTAACGGGATTTAAGTGTGGCAAAGTAGTTATAGCTATAAACAAATCCCCAACATTGATAGCTCTTTAAGTCCTCGAAATTCGATGCCGACCACATTAGTTTTAATGAACTCATCTAGCTGAAGGCGCTCGGTCGCACATCCGCACCAGATCACAAGTGGGAACCTTGTGCTCAACTTTTTCTACAAGCACTAGCCAGTTTAGATCAGTCACTTCTCGATATATTAGTGACCTATCAAATATATCTTCGAACCTTTTCGCATATGACCTCTGATTTGACTGAGTGGGGATGTTTTGATTATAGAAGTTGTTACTGGTTAAGATGTCAAATTCCAAATACTTGTGGTGTCTTCATAGTTGGTCCTTTTACACTGTGGCGTAACTGATATGGTTTTTCTTTAAACTAACGATTGTCATTTTTACCGTATAAACTAGTGAATGTTTTCGATTTCTTGCAAAGCCTTAAGAGGCTGGTAGTTATGTAGTGTGGCGTCGAGCCGCGATTGACTATGATAATCACTACAGGAAGATTGCGAACCAGATACTCAGTTTGGTCCCTTCGTAGACCAAAAACCAGAAGGCAATTGACCACCATAATAAAATATATTTGTTGGCAATCTCGTGGTATCGACATAATACCGAGATCGTGTCAAATAGTACAAGTGAGACGAACTAGCGTGTACGAAAGCGTGCTAGATCCCAGTAGACGGAAGAAGGTTAGGGTTTTAGTAAAGTTAAACAAACAGGTACAGTAAAACAATCACTGGTACGATCGGTTATAATAATAATTGTTTCCATTTTATCAATCGCGTTCTCTTCATAAAAGTAGGTCACTATAGTTATTTGAAATCTTCATCTTAGATGTAAGGAGTGATTTTCAAAATTAGGTGCTGAAGGCTTGTACATGAGGCACCTGAAAGAAAGAGATGGATTGAAAAATATCTCTTATCCACTTTTTTTATGTATGTCTGTGTGGTAATTTTTACTTTATCTAAACAATATCGGTTAGCACTAGTGAGTAATAGGAGCTACCCTGAAAACGTTTTGATATAATAAATATATCTTTGATACCATTGGTTTGGAGAAAATCAGGTGTTCTTTTGGGTGAAATGTGATGATTGAAAGTATTTGATTTATTATGTGAACTAGGAATTCTCGAAATAGTGCAATTTACTGCAAATACAACTAGGTGAGTAAAAATGAAATTATTGTGTTTAGAACTCGAAATCAGATAGTCATCAAGTACAAAAGAATCATTAGTTCATACAAACACTACATAAAGGCAACAAATCTTGTTGCCGTTACCTAATACTGAAGTCAGATCTTTGGCTTCCGAAAATTCACGAGAGTTCAAAAGTATTCTTGTAAATTATTCTCTTGTTCAACTGCTAACTTATGACTTTTTGAGTGCCGGCAAAGAAATTCTAAGCGGTAGACAAAATTAAATGCCAATTTACCAAAAATTTATTACACTCCTCAATATATCTTTTAGTTTTTGTTTTGTCTGACTAATTAGTGAACTTTACAGGTTTTTCATAGTCTCACATAGAAACGCAATTTCCAACTTAATAAGCAAATACGTGGTTTTAAGTTTTTTTCAAAAATTAAATCTGTACTAATTGCTTGATAGAATTTAATTGGAGGATATGTGCCTTACTATGTATTAAACTTGTATGTTTTTTCCTGAACTTTTCAAGCACCACCTTCGAGCATTATAATAACATGTATAATTTTGAGTATCTCATGGGTTATGTAACAGTATTTTTCAATGTCTCATAATAAACATGTTACAAACTGTAGTAGTTCCTAGAACCCCTCTCTCATAATACACGTGTTATGTAATAACGATACTAAAACTCGGTAATATTACTTAAGAATATGTAGGAATGTTAGTTATGTGCAGTCGAGTAATCTAATTTGTAATTAAAAAAGTATAAACGAAATTAATTCTATTCATGACATTGTTTAAATAGTCATTTTGATTTTAATGTGTCGCTATTTCCAGTCAAACCAGTGTTCATACCCTTAGTATCAGGTTATTTAGCTTGTGAGTTGATAAACGTTAACCTTAAGTATGATAGAAATTTTAGTAGATGTTTCTAAAAAGAACCAAAAGGATAATATTAACATATGTCAGTCGTTTGTTTTTTATTGTGTAAGTTTTAAATCGGCTCATCAGACATTTTTATAATATTGTGAATTGTAAGATACCTGTGAAAATTCTGAACCTGAATAAAACGTTCAGTGATCAAGTTAGATTTTGTGGAACGCTTTGCTTTCGTGTCGCCTAAAGTATAATGTGGTAAAATGGTCAAATAAGTATGCACAGTCTATAATTAGACAAAATGTCAATAGCCGGGTTAATCACGAAGAGAAATATGTATTAAATCGGTTTTCTCTAAATCAGTTTATAATCGCAGTGAGTATATAGTTTTCCAAGTAGTTGAGAATTTAATGTGGTATACAGTTAAATTTTTAAAGCTAAAAACCCACAATAATGCCAGTATTTCCATTTGTCAGGGTGTACGGTCTCTCAAGTGTTCTTTTTAATTTTGAACTCAGATGAAACCAAATGAGTTTGAGATGATTACAGTCATGTTGAAAAGAAACGAAGTAGAATTCCAATTGTAGTATTTTGCATAACAGAGCATCTTTATATAATGATGATTAAAAATATGGAAATAATAAACAAACATCTGATTGTAATGTGAGATTCCTTGTCAGTAAAGGTTTGCGATCGTAGTGGGGGTCGAATTCAGGACCTTTAGGCTTTGCAGCGAGTGCTTAACATTTAGATGGCTGAGTCAAAATCCAACTGTAATATAATTTATAAAGTGTATTAAACGTTTTTAACATCATAATTATAAATGAAATGAGCCAGTTACTTTGTACATTTCATTCATAAGCTTAAAATCACGGTGATAAAGGGTAAATAACGACACCAAATTATGTCAACATGAGAAGTGTAAAAATTTCAATCTTTTTTAAAATGCATTTTTCCGCATTGCATATTAGCGATTATCTTTTAGTTACGCATGAAATTATGATGGTATTCACTTAATGTTCAGCAAAATCAAGTCCGATTTATCTAAAGAGCTAGTTAAAATATTACCTCAATAACTTTTTCATTCATCAATTTTTACTGCATATCAATGAGATTGAGGTCAAGCATACAAATTGAGGTTGTGGGTTAAAATCTATTTTGTTGACAAAGTTTATAAAAATCATCCGTTTATTAATTTAATAGTAGATTTTGATTAATCAATGAACTTACTAACATCCAAATGTTTTTATTTTTTACGTTAGTAATTTCATACTCATGAGAAGCGATAGTATTCTATCTGGATGGGAAATTACTTCCTGGCTTACGATTCGTGGTCTGATTCTCATTCCTTATTTAGGAGCATTTATTTCCATTTTCCTCATAACTATTGGTGGTCCAAGGGTGTTCGGTATGGTGAGCTATAACATAATTGCTGAATTTATTAAATTGATCCAATTTTATTTTTACACTATAATCCTTAAGAATTCTAAGGGATTGCATTTTTTGCTGTTGATATCCAAGAATTATTTGAATAGCCTAGATTAATAAAATAATTGATAAAAAGGACATATTAGTGAGATGATAATATATCAAAATAATTGATGAGTATCATGATATCTAGTAAAAATTGCCTTGATACTTAAAGCTATGATTACTGGATTCAGGACTCAGTGTAATGCAGGTACTTTCAACCGATTAATATCAAAAAGGATGAAGCGTGAGTCCTGAACTTCACTATTAGTCATCATTCAAAACAGATATAAAATTTTGATTTCTTCGTCGCACGGTCTGAACTGAATAGAGTTATTCACAACAATATCTTGCAGAGAAATTTACGGTTTCATATTGATAGGTAATGATTTAGCACATGGGGAACCCTAAAAATTAAGAGTCCTAAAGCTTTGTGCTATATATCTAGATTGTGAGGTATCCAACAATGAGGGTTCCGGCAAAAGGTGTACACCAATAATATTGAAAATGAATAAAGATGACCATCAAACAGGTGCATATTAATAAAGGCGAGCATCGAAAGAGGGATAAAAATTTTAAGCGTGTAAACTCTGTTCGATTGACCTCCTATCCATTTGCCTCTACAACCAATCAAAAACGTAGATTTTTTAATATCTAATGACGAGTTTGCTTTCGAAAAATATGATATTTTTCCTAACTTGATAACAATATGTTGGTTGTATCAAACCACTTACGTTATCTCATGTCTATTTCAAACAGCAAGAAGATAATGATTCGGTGTACTTAAAGTTGAATGAGTTTTAAATGCTAAAACAGTCATACGCTTCATTTGTTATCATATATATGCCCGAAAACACTGTTTTTTTGTCCTCTATATCAAACTTCAGTGGACTTTTATTCTGTCGATTAGTGGCGTCTGTGGTAGTAAGAGTAAAATGATTAGGTCTTATTTAATACTGATTATATGAATAGGTGGATCTTTATAGACAAATAAAGTGTGACCATTATTACTGAGTGACATCTGATCATTAAGTATTGATTAGATTATCGGTTATTCCAGTGCAAACAATACTCAGATTTGTGTTCGACAAGCAAAAACATTTAAACAGTTTATTTAAATCGGTTAGTTGAAACTACAAATCTAATTACATTACTACAATACATTATACACGAGTTCTTTGCAGAGGCGTTAGAAACTCACCGTTTTAAACTTGAATTATGTGTGCAAAAGCACCACTTGCAAGCTGTTGTGAATATCAATGAAGACACTACTTTAATAATTCTAGATTTCCAGCTGGACACAAGATTAAAATTCTTTTTCCACCTGTTCCACTATCATGCAGTAGAAATTTCCTCTGCTTACATTTTTTTGTATTCAGGGTGTAAATTTAGTACTTTGAATAGACTCAGATTTGGTAAGTACACCTGATTTTCATGTCATTCGCGTCGAGTGATGCATTTCATCAGAATAACAACTGAAATTCAGGCTGCTCCTGGATCAAAAAAATCAGAAGTCCACGTAGCCACTATTTGATGTGCAGCTTCTTCCGGAGAAGTTTCTCGACTTTTCATGTCGTCGAGTGCTTTTTTTCCATCTATTTTAGCTTTGTTCGGAATATGATTGTGTTTTGTCGGCTGTTTTTTAATAATTACGTACGTTGTATAACAGAGCAACCTACACTTCGTCGTAAACTATTATGTACATCTCCAAATATTCTTCTCGTTAACTACAACCTCTTTCCAGAGAGCGTAGCCATTCACTACTAAAATGTCTATGCTCTTGTTTCTCTTTACATATTCAAGTTTCAATCTAATGAGGTGTAAAAAAGCCTGTATAATACGTTGACTTTATGTACAGCTGTTTCATTTTGAATACCAATTAAATATTTTATTTCAGATCAAACAGATACAAATTTACTTTATATACAACTACATTTTCACTAAAATTACCTGACCGTAAATCAGTCTACTACCTTCGTATTTCTGGCCATCTGAAATTGTTAAATGAACTCTTATTTTGTCGGAAATTCAAAATACACAAATATCCCTCTACAAAGATTATCTCCTTGCTGTTCGAAATAGACATGAGATAACGTAAGTGGTTTGATACAACCAACATATTGTTATCAAGTTAGGAAAAATATCATATTTTTCGAAAGAAAACTCGTCATTAGATATTAAAAAATCTACGTTTTTGATTGGTTGTAGAGGCAAATGGATAGGAGGTCAATCGAACAGAGTTTACACGCTTAAAATTTTTATCCCTCTTTCGATGCTCGCCTTTATTAATATGCACCTGTTTGATGGTCATCTTTATTCATTTTCAATATTATTGGTGTACACCTTTTGCCAGAGCCCTCACAGCTAATATCAACCGGTTTCAAATACAACATAAGTTTCCTTTTAAGTAACACACTCACCTCGAAGCATAAGGGTCCTCGGTCTCAGAACATTGCTAAGGAGTCCTAAAATTGGATGACACATCTGTTAAATTCTCTCTGGTATTCAATGGATTTTAGTATAAATATCATTCCTTTATTATAACTAACTTGAGTTTTAATTATTCTCCACAAACTTTTCAATCAAACTATTTCCCTTAAAGATACATTTTTGTAGAAATACTGATGTTATGGAAATACCTATTTGATATTATTTCTGCACATATTCTTTGTGTTTTTGTGTATATGTATTAAAGCTTACATATTGTTACAAAGGCTGTCAATCTATAAGTAGACATGTTCTTTTCACCTATATCTATGGTGAAAGTGTAGCAGTATTTTATGTGCACAATCATAATAAATAAATAACAAATTAGCTTATTTGCATCGACAAATTTAAACCGTTTTGTTTAAATGGTGTCTGTACCATTATGCCAACTATATTGTTGAGTAAAAACATTGTGAGTCTGTCCAAGTTATCTAAAAATAGGTTACTAATATTCTGATAAAATGAATTATCAATAATTTGTTCTGAAAAGTATATTATACAAAAAAATCCGAACAAAGCATGAGTAAATTTTATTTCACTGATTTCATGAACACCCAAGGATAAGGCACTCGTAATCTAGTTTTATACTTACTACCTTTTGGAGCAATTCAACTGACATACACAGATTGGTGTCCCTTTCATCAATAATTTATGTTTTACTCATTAGGTAAGAAATGGCTTGTATGGGGGACTAATATGTGACCCGAAGGTCCCTTATTTAATACCTGGCAGGGTCATCTATCCTGATTGATGAGGGGTCTCATATAGAACGAAATAGTTGTCCATTGCTTCTTAGTTTTAAATGTTTATTTTATTTCTTCTATCAAGAAGGCAATAAGTCTCAAGACGAAACTAACATATGACCGTTCTCCATCTTCCTATCAATCATTCTTGATAGGCATTAACTTTCTTACTTCATACTATATTGTTATTCTTGCTAATGTTATTTGGTTGGATAAATAATGTCTAGGACAGTTCAAACTTAAATTAATAAATTGGTTATTATAAAACATGAGACTTGCAAACATTCATAATAGATGATGTCATGAACGCCTGTTCAAACGATGACTAACTAGCTTACTCATTTGCATATATTTATTTCCCCTCAATGAATTTACTTAAGTCTCGACATTTCAATAAGTGTTTTAATAATCTACACGTATGTATGCATGTTTGTATGTGTGAATGAGTGAGTAAGTGTTATGAATTCCGACTAGGTCCACCCCTAAATAAACACTATTATCCAGATTCGCATTTTCGTTGAGGTATTAGATTTCATGTGCCTGTAACATTTTATGTTATTCATATTACATTCATTCATCTGTTTTCTTCTCTTTGTTTAGTTACTCTATATATTATCACCATTGGCTGTATGTTTACTAAGTGGAGTACTTATTACACTACGCTTGAAATATGCTAATTCAACTAATCAGTTATCTGATTATTATACCAAATTTTATCGACTGTTTTTTACATCCGTTCCGAATAATCCTGATGGTGTTGATACATATCATGTTCAACCATTAGTTTGGGTAAGTTTCGTTTTTATTTTTCATAAATACTGATTTATATATTTCAATCACACAAGAAACATATAAGCTGAAGAATCAATGAGCAGTTGTCTTGTCTACTTCAGGACTTCCCAACAGTGTGTGATATAAAAATTTCATGTTTTAAAACGGTTGACACGTTTTGTAGTTCAGGCGGATGCTTTCGGTAACAAGATGTTCTCTCAGCAGAATGATTTGATTGTATGAATTTCATTGTCATTATGGACGCTTCAAAATTAGGCATTTTGAAATGATTTCACCGCCAATTACAAAACAGTTCATCAGAAACCATTAATTTAACGCCGATAGAATAGTTTTGATAAGCTCACTTCTGATTAAAATAATAGCTGGTTATATCGTTCAGAGTGATAATGAAAGCTCTACAATTAAATTATTCAGCTCATAGAATTTAACACTATTCCTCATTTCATGTTTCAAAGTCACTTGGATTGTTCAACTGAATATAGTTCATGATGAAAACTAATTTGACATTGAACAATCTTCACGAAACAATTTTTTAATAGTTCACTCAATAAATTCCTAGAACCATTGATAGAAATCTACCAGATTGGTTCTTATGTTCACTCGGTTTTTTCATTTAACCGTTATCATCAATCTAACCAAGTTACTAAGGTCATCATGAATACTCAAATTTGTACAAATATATATATATATATATATGATGACAGTTCAACAGCATATGAATACCAATCAAACAAATAAAATCACTACATAGAAACAACCATTTTTTTGTTAAATAGTAACTAAGTGAACTTATTTCAAAAATCTTTTATTTATTCATTGGAAGAAATCATATTGAAATAAATGAATGTTAGATTCATTTAAGAAATTTATTCGAGAAGAATAAAGTATAATTAATAAGTGTTTATGAGAAAATAAACATTTTGTTCTACCCTCTGTATCACGTACGATAAACATTTAAACAAATTAAATTTAAATTGTGTTTCAATGAAACTAAATGTGTGTATATTTGTTTGAATGTAAATAAATTACTTACAAGTGCTGAATACAGACATTGTTAACATTGTATTTACTTAGAATAGTTGATAAATAATATGCATATATAAATGATTTAAAGAAAATTGGCTATTTTGTTGAATGAGTTATCATATCTATTTTTTTTTTGTGGTATAACTATATGATATTGTGATACTTATGTTAGATTAAAACTATCACAGGGATGTATTGTAATTTTACTATGTTATAGACGTAGAATTACTGATAATGATATGCATGCTTTTTTTCCGATAGAGGACAAAGACAGTTGACCTTCTCGTGTTGTATTTCGCTGTACATTCATTAAATATATATTCACTTAAAATTCTTTCATATTCTGTTCGACAAATTAAAACAACAGCTATTTGACATATACTGAACATTGTAAATCGATATTCACATATAAGCATAAATGTAAACTTAGATATCTGACAAAATAAAGACTAGGTACTGTCATTCATAGAAATCTTGCATAGTGTCTATCATAACAGAGGAATATTGTATGTATGTCTGTGTAATTGTGTAACTGGATAATAATTACATATAAAAACCTACTTATCAACACAATGTAACTAAATGAACAAATATTGTACAATAGAATTAATGACCAGAAAATAATATACTTAGATATGATTAAGTAGATAAGTGAGTATGATTCAAATTTACCTAAATACAAAACTAATTTCAATAGCTGAGATCATGAGTCAATTGTAGCTGGACCACCACAAAACTCTTTCTGATACTAACCAGCATCTTCTCACTATTGACTGACTTCAAGAGGTATTTCTGGAGTTTTAGTAAGAAGCAGTGACCAGTGGAGTTGAACAAGGCCTGTTATGAGATAGTGACTCACTGAGGACAATAGTGGATGTGTCACTCAATTTCGTGGATTAGTTGAAGTTAGACATTAACACCGTTGGATGCTGACCGGCTCAGTGGTCTAGTGGTTAAGCGCCCGCGCGCGAAACCAGTAGGTCCTGGGTTCGAACCCCGCAGCGGGCGAGGTCGTGGATGTGCACTGCTGAGGAGTCCCACAATAGGACGAAACGGCCGTCCAGTGGTCTAGCTTCAAGTGACTCATGATCTTAACCATTGACAAAATTAATTGGTAATGTATTAATTTGATAGAACAATACTTGATTAATCACACTATAAGCTTAATTCTGACTCAACATATCAATTTCTTAAAGTTATATTTTCTTTTTTTTAAATCACTGAAAAACTGATCAGAATAATTCAGAACTGAAATAAATTGTGACTAATATAAGAAATAGGATAGTAGGTGTTAAATTTCTATATTGGAACTAGATTCATTTTATAGTTGGATGTATGGTGAATTCCATGAAATTATGAAATGATTTCTGTATACATAACTATAATTTACTATTTTTGATTGTTAGTCGCTTAATAAAATAAAGATAATTCAAATCTAATTTTAATACAAACGATGTACAGTTTACATTCAACAACGTAATTCATAGATAGAAGGATAGCATAGCAATAGGATCCCCTCTTGGTCCATTACTAGCAGATCACTTCATGGCCAATTTAGAAAACAACCAACTCAAAAAGATTATAGAAATATCAAATAAACATTTTAATCTTAATATTAAAACTTCACTAATGTCTAAAGGATTCTTATATAAAAGACATGAAATACACTATCTTTGTAAATAATTTTTTAAATATGAACTTATGTCTGGTAGTTACTAAATAAATATCGAAATGAAATATCAGAAAAGAAAGGAAATTTTATTCTACTTAGCTTCATATTGTCTTCTTAATCCGACTTCTGATTCATGAATATGTCAAAAATAAGCCTTGTTTTTAGTTTACTTTTTTTCTCTAGAAAAGACAACTGCATAAAATGTGCTCTTTCTATATCTAACTTCAATTATTTCATCATTCATGACTTTTAAAACAGCAAATACAAAATGATCAATAAAATAATTACTGAAAAACTCGTCATTTCCCGTCACATAATCTCACCAAAATAATCTACGTAGTTAATCCATTACATTTAAAGGAAGTATGAATCAAAAACCTATACTCTTCATAGGCTCTAACAATTTGGCGACTTAAACCCAAACTCTATGTAAAAAAAGAAAACGCATGCAATCTTTCATTTTATTATGATCTTAGTTGTTAACATCCTCCTCTGAATTTTCAATATTTATTAATTACTTGTTTTCGTTAGATCCATATTTTTTATTTCACCCTCACCCCTAGCTTCATGAGTTACCTATAAGTAATCGATATTTGTGTAAGTAGTAATAATAGTCCAAAATGTATTGGTAAAGTTTCGTGTTTGATAGAAATTGGACCCTTTATCTCTAAGTTGACATGTATTCAAGCTACAAGGTAAAAATTCTTCAACCTAAAAAGTTTTGAGGAAGAAGTGAATAGGTCATAACGTTGAAACTTTCACTAAAGAAGAATAGTTGACGTACTCAATTTGCGAAAACTCAATTACATATTGATTCTTAACTTGTAATATGTATCTGCATGCATATTTCTTATATAAATGAAAATTTTATTGCTATCAGTCTAAAATTTGTTTTGCTTGTTTACTTTTGTTTATATTCAGGGATTTCTTTCCACATTTGTACATTTAACCCAGTCATATAATCTATGGAATGGAGTATATCCTACCATTGGTAAATTGGTCAGTGGTGGACGTAAAATGCGACATTTGTAAGTTGTTCAAAACTAGGGATATATATATAACTTTTCCCTAATGTGAATTTTCGCCTATCTTACATTGAATCATTAGCGTTAAAAAGGTATCAAACAAAGTCAGTGTGTCAGTCCGTTTTAATTTTGATCAAGAGTGATCATGTGCGACATCATTTTAAGCAACTTATCGTATACAGTTACAATTTTCAACAAACGAAGGTCATATGCTCATCTTATATATATAAAGTTATAGAGATTTGAGAGAAGGCTTTTACATTATGTTCTATGTTTTTACATTCAAAATAATTATTCATATGCTTTTTTATATCTTCCATGAGAGAAAAAAACGCAGTAATCACGTTTATCAGGTTTCGATAATTTTTTTTACTTACATGTTTTCATATTTCTTCTCTAATACACATTTGAAATTCGCTTATTCAGAAACTTTACTCATTAGTGTTACGTACCTTTTCTATTTTTTTTTCAAGTTTTGATCTACCTTGGATATAAAACCATTTCTTCTATTTATCATTGTTTTTTGATGATTTTTCCGATCCCAATCACTGTTATATCATTATTTGTGTGGGTTCGAATCTATTAAGTTAATTAACACAAGGTGCATATACACTAACAAAGACAAGCCAAACTTATTTGATATTTCAGTGCAAAAATCTACACTGAAATGGAGGTACATTTAGCCGACGGTTTCAACATATGGCGAAAAGCGTGTCATTGATTTTACTGCTAGCTACATTTCGTATATTCTGTTATTTTTATTACATCTGTTACAACACTATCAGGTTTTATTAATGGTGCTTTAATGTATAACATACATCGTTTTTATTATGACCATAGAAACTTAATTAGTCGATCTTGTGCTTTACCAGTATAAATACATGTAACGGTAAATCCTTTGATAATGTTACCTACCTATATATCTTGTTATGAACTACATAACTGCAAGTTCTTAATATTCCACTGATGTCATTATAAGATCATAACAACATATTCGAAGAAAAATTGTATTTTTAAAATCCTAGTTTTGGTTCTTTCGAAAAATGTTGTGTCAGCCTATCTGTTTCATAGGTAAAAGAGATACCTTTTCTAAATTCTGTCCTCTATCAAAGTCGATTAATCAGTCAGGTGTGGGTTGGCACCATATTTCACAAATTTTCTTTTTTCTGTAAGTTTTTGTTGTAATACATAAGCTACTGATTAGTATAAACGTAATATATATCAAATAGCCTAAAAATATGCTAAACTTTTCATCTGACTTCCAGGGGTTGGATTCCTGTGGTGATAGGATCAGCTTTACTTGGGCAATTACCAGTACTAATTATGCTTTACGCTACAGCTTCATCATATGATCCACAATATATTCGATGTCATTTAAGCGTTGATTGGTTAGCACCATTTATCATTATGCCACATATTTTCTCAAAATTTTCAAGCCCTCGACTTTTGGTTGCATCATATTTTCTTGGACTTTCATTATTTATTTTGTTAAATCAAGTAAGTTCCTGTTTTATAGACTTGTCAAAGATATTTTACATTTATGCTAGAATGATTTCGAATTCTGTGTACAGACTCCAGATACTCACCACCGAAGTCGAATTTTATTCATGAATTTATTATGTTAGTCTGAAAATGACGCTATTGACTGCAGTTTTTGTCTAAATATTTCATGATTTCAAAGGTTTAATAAATGGTAATAGTACTTACTCGATAACTAATAATTTCATATCAAACATGATCTTTGACGGATTCCGTATTGCTTCACGTATATTTTTTGATTAAATTAATATATTTCATGCAATTGGTTCCCTTTATGAATTAAGATAAAGTGATCATTCTTTGGAGGCCATCCTTTTAAACCAGCGTTATCTATTGTATACAGTTTTCGTCACCTTCTTTACTGAAATTGATAGTAAACTCATGAGTTGTCTTACCTGGAAGCAAAAATGGTCACCAGTTGCGGTATTATAGTCAATTCAGGTTTTATTCCTGATAACCCCATATAGGAGTTGAAAACCGTGTGTACATCTTCTTACAAACCAACAGTACACATCAAATATCAGATATCAGTGGTATAGTGGGAAAACCATATTATTTGACTGAAAACTGGCAAATATCTTTAACCATACAATTCGTTAATAAACAATTATATCTTTCAATAGAATATTTTAAAGTTATGTTCCTTTTACTTCTAATTTGGGTCCGTGATCCTGTGTAATCAACCAAATCATCGATGACATAGAATAAGAACGTGCTATATAGTGGAATAACTGAAGCATAAAATAAAATCTCTTTATCCATATTTACTGATTCATCATAATGTTGTTGCACATAGTTCATATAATTTTCGCCCTATATTCTCAACAATGAAATATTGCAAATGAAAAGTTTTTGAACATCTTCATATTATATTGACCTTATGAAATGTGGAATAACGTACAACTGTATTACTTGCTACATTAGACCTTATGTTTGATATGTTCAGTATTCAAAATTATCTAAGGAACTTTGTAAATTTCATTTTATTTCAAAGATATTTACTGGAAAAAAAACTGGCTTTATAAACTTGCACTTGTTTATAATCAGGGCAGTTTTAATCACGTGGTGTGCACGATACATTGAGAAACTGAGTCAGAAGATAGTGGCCTGTATTTTTTAAAAATTCATTTAGTATGCAAGTTTTTAACACAAGTTAATGTTTAACTTTTAGTTACTAATAGTTTATTGCAAGAACTTTCAGGAATTCCTGTTTGAGAAGTTGACCATTAGTGAACTCACAATTGTGTGTTCAAAATCCACACAAAAGATCTCCATAGAACCACTCGTCAATTTTAGTGATAATTATTTAAAATTGGTTGATCAATGATCAGTGATTAACTGCTTATTTACATACTTCTTAGTGCTCGTTCAACTGTATTATTCAAGTTGGAATGTAAACACTAATCTAAGTGATCTATCACTATGCGCTACGTTGAGATTCTAGATTGTCGGAGGTAGTTAACATATCGAGTCACTTAGACTAGTGGCCACATTACAACTTGATTGACAGGATTTAGTTATCACTAAAGACTAGATAAACATGACTTCGTTCAATGTACAATCATCAATCATTGTAAATATCAATGCTGCAGGAGTTAAGTTTTAGTATCAATAACCCAGTGTTCACCTCTCAGACTGGGAAGCTGAGTCCTCTGTTTCTGTCCCAAGTAGGAAACGTCAGTTCCCTAAAGGTTGCGAGCATACCTTACATACGAATGCCAGATGACGTGAAATCCGGTTTCGAAATTCCTGTACATTACCTGCTACCATCTAGAATAAAAATCATATATTATTTTGTTGTTTTCTCTGAAGGCATTAATATTAATAAGTACTATCGAACATATTGTTGGTCATTTGGTTACTAATAATGAAAAATACGAAGATCAATATAAACGCATATATCGATGTTCAATCATATTAATTATTCTGTTACTTGGATTGCTTGGTGTTCCATTAATTACTCAGGTAAGACTCCTGTGACTTTTTAGTTTGTCATTAAAATCAGGGTAATTTTTTTCTGATACTTTCATTCGAATTATTTTACACAATTATTATTATTACTATCCAGGCTGGATTTCTTTTCATTCAAATATTATTCGTTGTGTGATATTACTGATTTAATATGTAAATGATATAACTTTTCATCTGACTAATTTATTGACTAGAATATGGAATTCTCGGAGTCATTTCGAGCAAAGATCGTGAATAATTTAGTTAAGATACCTTACCAAGGATTCAATTATTAACTCACATGCTATGCCAATATGGAAAATTGAGGGTTATAAGGATGTGTATAGTTATGTACAGTTGATTATCCTGGTTAGATTGAATGTGACTGGTTAACCGAATGAACCATTTTCTAAAATAATGAATTTTTCCAACTGGACATTTAATAGCTGAGTTATGATCTATTGACATTAGTTATCGTAGTCACTTTAATTGTCGTATTTTGTTTTATCGTGTTTGATTGTTTGTTAAACGTGTTTGCATTAAATTTAACAACTGTAGGATATATAAGTTAGCATTGTATTTCTGGAAGTGTGGTTGATTCTTTTTTATGAATTCATTCCTGATTACTGGTATACCGGAATGATTCCAAATCAATGAGCATCCAACATAGATAGCGAAATAAGTAACTATCTTTATTGGATCATAAAACAAAATCACCAGGTGTTTAATTACATTCTCACTAAGTAAAACAAAAGTTAGCATATTGCAGTTATCATCATTCATTAAATTACAAACTATTGGTGTTTGATTCTTATGTTACGCAGTAACATAGTGGATATCACACATTTTATGTACAGGTTAGCTACACTTTCAGAGCGTCAAAACAGATGTTAAGGAAGTGAGGTTCGAAGTCGTTACCTAGTGGTTGAGAATCGAGTATTTTAGTTAATAATCTGTTACTACTGTTTAGTCTTCACAAGATATACTTGGTTTATATTGTGTAGGAAAAGTTATAAATCAAAAAAAGAAGTAGGTTTGAAAAGTATAAATATATGGTGACGTCTGCAAAAACATAGCAGTTTAACATCAATGATCATTTAATACCTTGGAATTCCTTTAAATAATCCACTATGACTGAAAACCAAGGTTACACTAGTGTGTGTGTAATTTAATTCATGCATATCCAATAAAATTCAACTTACTTCCACACTGACAGTCATTATGTGATCACTTGTGACTAGCTTTGAAAGAGAAATTTCGGAGTTATATCGAGAAGCTGTGAGCAATGGAGTTCAACTTTGTTAAATATGCAGAGGTCACCGACCATTATAGGACGAAATGGCTATTCAGAGTTTCTTCTTTTCAATAGTTGTCTAGATAAAGTCAGTCTGTGGTTCGAACTACAAGATTGAACTGTTACGAGAAGAGTTCAGGCATACAGTAACTCAGATTGTGCTTCTAACTTTATGAGATTTATTTACATCATATAATTTGTATGTGAACATGTGCAAAAGTTTTGTTATTTATGATAAATCTGTCTGAGTTTTCACATTTATTCATTGATATTCAGTCAATCTACCTTGAGTTCTAATTTCAATGATTATTTCTAATATCACATGTTGAGTTACTGAAAACCAAGTTACACTGAATAATTATTTAATCCTATAAAGAAACTCCCAAGCAAACCTTATCAATGACTGCACAGATAGTGTTGTACAATGATAACTAAATAATTAAATTATATTCCGATCATCTACATTTTTTTACTTCAGTTAGTGTTTAACAAGGACCGTTAAATAATGTTAATGGTATGCAATTTATTGTTTTGCTTGTATTACAAGTAATATTTATCAATATAGTTATCACACTATCATTTTATATATCTGTGCATGTATCAATTACTTATGTTTCTATTCCTTCACTTTAACTTGACCTATACAGTTAATATATTAATAGATGGTTGTTTTGTAAACATTGAATAGTGACATATTTCAAGAATAATCTAGTTTAATTATAAATCATTTTGGAAACTAACCATTGAGAACTTTACAGGTTTTTTTTAACAAAAAACATAAATTGACTGTTCTGCCTTATTTAATATTGGTAAGGCTATAATTTATGGACGACATTTGAGCGATGCCAAAGTAACTTTGAGAATGTCCACGTACTAACTGACTAAATGTCGATTATGATTTACAGTTGATGGTCTGGATTAGGGATTGGATTTAGGGTTTTCATAACAAATTGACATCAACTAAAATGCCAAAACACTATTTAACCAAATGGATGAATGGATTTTGTGCCAAAATCCAAGACCTGTTATCCTAAATCTGATTTGTTCATCCATAAATTAGTTTCACCTTAATAATTAAACTTGATCAACTCATCTATAACTCAATTCTAATCACTTATTTTACAGGCTGGATTTTATTGGATACGTTTAATTGATTGGTTTGTTGATCGTTTAATGTTGATACCAGTGCTAGGACAAGTGGCTGGTTTTCTCATTGTTTATGGTAAGTTAGTTATGATAGACATTAATAAATAGATTTAAATTTCCTCTCATGTTCATTTAACACGAATAAAAGATTTTTTTATTATTTTTACAAAAGGATTTTATAATTTATTCGTAAGGGTTTATATATTCCCGTTATGGATGTTAAAAAATAGAAGTAGTCAGTCTTTATTAACATTTATACGTCCTAAGTGGGTTACCTTGATGTTACCATTTAGTCACAAGTCTTAGTAAATTTTAATCATGGTTAACAGTGAAATCCAGAACATATATTTTGAACTATTTGGGATTCGTCAATTGAATATACTTGCATTCCGTTGTTGATGTTCACAACGTAATTGGAATTTAGTGTTTATCTCTTCAAATACTAATTCATTTTCCTTTGATATACTAAATCTACACAGATAGTAACTTGTTTAATAGGTATCAATACTGAGGTACAGAGAGATACTTGATTTTACTGGTGACCACAACACAGTTATACATAAATTATTAATTTCCTAATAAATTGACACAGACATTGTATTTCCCACTTGTTCTTATTATAACTGAGTATGATGTTAATAGGTATTTGAATTATAGTGTGAACTAAGAATCCCAGAAATAACGTAATTGGATCAAGAACTACTAGATAACCACAAACGAATGTACTGTATTTAGAATTCGAAATCAAGCATTTAACAAGTACAATGGTATCATCAGTTCATTCAAACACCACACTGAGATATAATATAAATGAAAATATATTGGATATTGATGAGATATAACAAATTGTTACCTCAGTACATTCATTAATCTACTACTTAAATATTAAGAGATTATATAAATAGTTATTCCAACATATCATTTAATGAAATAACCATTTAATCAAACAGTACAATCTTATCAATAGTTAATTAATGAAAGTAACATATGTAAGAATGGAATAATTCATCTAAGAGTAAATGTAGAATTAATATACTCAAAGGTTATCAATTAGCTAATAATTTTTGAGTTCTAACTATCATGTCGATTATATAATAGATTTTCTATTATTAATTGATAATCTACTAAATAAGACACATGTTAATTTTATAAAACGGAACTAGTTAGTTGATGATGTAATTTTTCTTTTCTGTACAAGTCTATATCATTGTCATGTTCGTTGAATTTAATTATAAATTAAATATAAGTGTCTTTAGTATTTTAATACCATAAACTTGTTCATAGTGAAATCAACTAGCAAAATGAATATATTTGAACAAATGACTAAATTAAATAGTAATTGTGTATTTATTAATGAATGAACTGTTTACTGAATATATTTTATTTGGATCTATACTTTGAAAGACAATTCATTTCTTAATTATGTCACTCAATTTCGTGGATTAGTTAAAATTAAACATTAACACCGTTGGATGCCGACCGGCTCAGTGATCTAGTGGTTAAGCGCTCGCGCACGAGACTGATAGATCCTGGGTTCGTGGGTATGCACTTCTGAGAAGTCCCACAATAGACGAAAAGGCCGTCCAGTGCTTCCAAGTTTTCCAAGGTAGTTCAGCTTCAAATGACTCATGATCTCAACTATTGAAATTTCTTAATTTTCATTTATAATTATACCTTAGACAAACTAAACTCATTAGTTCACATAGATTGGTTGTTTGGATTGTGATTGATCAGTCTATTTTGATGTATGTATATCTTGTGCGAACTGTCTCAATATTGTTATGAATTCACGAGTATTGTAAGCAGAGTTCGATAGTGGTTAGTAGTGGAATCCAGGATGCAGGTTTCATCCCATTTGAACTAGTCAGCAGGGTATACCTACATTCTAGAGTAGATGTTTACTTCGGGACTCGAGTCCAGTATCGCTTGCTTCAAACGCCGTCACATTACCTACTTAACCACTGGGTTCGAGTCCCACGGTGAACACCTACTTTAGAATGTATATATACTAATCTGACTAGCTCCAAATAGTACGGGACGCGCATCCTAGATTCCACTGCTAGCCACCATCAATCTCTGCTTAATATACTTACTAGTGTTTATGCAGGTGAGGAAAAAAGAGACAACGAAATCTTTATTTACTTCACCGGATTTCTCGAAGATTATTATTCTTTCTGCGTTTATATTGGAGAAAAGAACTAATTACAGGAGATGACGATTAAACTTTGAACTGACTGATATCAGAATTGTTCATCAGAACTGTATCTAAATACTTTAAATAAAAACTTTCTTCAATTTCATTTACAGCTCATTTACGAGGCAGTAAAATAGAAACACCTATGGTAAAAACAATTATAATATGTATCTATGCTATACTCATTACTATTGCCAGTGTAAGTTTTATTAATTGTCATACGCATTTTACAAATTGTCTACGTTAAAATATTTTATCGATATTATAGATAATTTTCATTAAACATTAAATGTAGTTGGAAAACGCCTTAGAAATAAAAGACAATCTTAAACTGGAACAAAAAAGTGTCCGATTCTCTCCAGTTTTTAGTGTTATTTTGTACCTGATGTCAAACAATTTGTTTTATCGTATACCCCACGATTAAATTGAAAATATATCATGTGGTACTTCTATTGACCCATGTTGTCTTTTGAGTTTTTTTGTATTGCAGGATACTCAGAACTTTTGGATTTTAAATTTTCAAGTTTCATGATAATTGTTTCTGTACTCTATCTTCCATGTTGGGGTGGTGTAAATGATATTGGGCTGAATATGACTTCAGATTGAAAGTTAAATAGGTGATGTATCACATCCAAAATATGTTGATGAATTTGCGTAAATCGAACTCCCAGAGTATCGCTCTGCACATTAGGACCCAAAATAATTTCACGAGATTTTTTGTATGATCCTATCTCTCTGCTTTTCAAGTAGAAAAGGTATTAAAGACTGCTCAAACTAATTTTCTGATGTTCTGATATGTATTAGTTATTCATCTTGTGATTAATGCAGTAATGAGGTTAGTGGATCAATACTTAGTGATACAGAAAGCGTTACGTCGTTGGCTTGTTTATCCACTAATCTTTGCTCAATATGCAGGAGAAGAGAGTTGTCTCGATCTAGTTTGCAGCCTTGACGCGGTATAATACTAGATACAGTCTTGATACCTATAACACAAACTTTCGATTTGCAACTGAATGGCTTTGAGTACAGAGGCAAGAAATTATCCTACCACTGACCTATGACCTCATTGGTTGACAATTGGAAAGAGACAACGATTTATCTGGAACTGTTTATCAATTCATACCTGATTCAATTAATTCAAAAAAGGAAATGAATAAATATATGTCAAACATGACCACGATGTACGAGAAATGAGAAAAATACACTTATATACAAAGCAAAACATTAGAGTGAAAAAAGGTGGTATACAAGTGTCACGTTAAGATTACAGTAATTTTGGAATAGAAGAGAATATGTCGGTAATTTACATATCAAATAAAAGCTTATAATCCATAGAATAATTATACATATATATGTAAGGTAGTCTACGATTAGTTTTTAATTCTGTTTAATTCTTCTATTAACACTCTTGTTTCATTTAAATAAAGGGGAATTTATACTTGGTATATATTTTCAAGTTCACAAAAGCCACCTGATTTTCAATGTCGTACATACAGTCGAGCACCAATAAATGATCCAATTCAGAATAATTTTATTCTACTCGGTTGGTTAATAGCATTTGGTCCTATATTATTGGGTATAATAATTGGATTGATTATGACATGTATACGTTTTCATAGTCATCAAACTGTAGGATATTCGGTAAATTATATAATATATTGTTTTGTCAATAATTGTTTAGACAATTTGTTTCTGTAATAGACTTGTGAAAATGGACTAGAATTTATAATACTGTTTATTTTATTTTTAATTCCATTGTTATATGTGGCTTCTGAGGATAACTATTCATCAGAATGTGTACTGGATCGATTCAGTAAATTATTCTATAACAGTGTGTACATTCACTTGGTATTGTTTGACTTGTGTCTTCCCATTGAGGTTTAAGACTGCAATTGATCAGTCTATAATTAGGCATATGTGCATACTGTGCGTATGCCTCGATATTACCTTAATTCACAAGCTAGCCACTATCCATCATTGCTTACAGAAAGTATGTACATTCTTTTTAAGAAATCTTCATAATGTATTATACAAATGTGAATTTGTTTGCTTTTTTTTCTAGAGAATTTCTCGGTATTTCGAAATTAATTTTACATTTTCTCAGATATAAATTGTATCAGTTTAGTTCATTTAAAGACTATTTGGAGAAAATGGTTAACCTTTTATGAAATGTCCCTTTAGTTCAATGAGATAGTTCCAAACTAGTGATAAGCTATTTCTTCTTTATCGAATTCTTTTTTAAAAAATACTTGCCTAGAATAAATTACTTAGAATACTCGGATACTTCCGAAGATTACATTAAAATCATGCAGCACTTCAGTATTTTCAGTGATTTCTTGTTCTGCAAGGTGACAGAATCAAGTGTGAGTCATTTTAGGGAATATTATATGTCAAATTACAGGAAAAATGTGTGTAATAAATCAATATACTTGCATAAACGGTGAAAAAATGTTTTCGAAATAATGAGTATTAGTTATATATTCTCTACCTCAAGGGATTTTGTTAAGTTTTACTCTTAAAATCGTCTCATCGATATATATATAATATAGCCTTTTGCATTTCAGCTTACCTGAATAGACTGTAATGTACACGTGTTCCATTGTGCGTGAGGATAAGTATTAGTGAAATGATGTCATTATATGAGGGGCAAAAACGGAGAGGTATTAAAGTGTATAAATATTGTAGCGGTAGATCATTGTCAAAAACAAACTGTCCAATAAATATTCATAACTGATACAGACATTATTTTCATTGAATTAAAACTGATGGTCATGCATAATTAAACATTCACACTATCCTCATTGACCCACACGCTTACATAGGACACTTTCCTCATCTACCTAGTCAGTTTAATAATACAGTGTTTGTTTGCTTCTGCACTCGTACTGGTGTACTATTGCATCCTGACTTGTTATTTTTTCTTTAAAGAATCGATCGGGTGTATGCATATTATCATAATACAGTATTCAGAAGCCTAGAATCAGTATCGTTAACTTCGACTGTATTGAGCTTGCCATAATGGCACACTCAACAACTGATTTACGGCTTTCTTCACGAGATTGTGGTTTTTTCACATATTTTCACTTGGTCTCCTCATTTAACCGGGTTTTTTTTAATTTACAGTACTTCAGTTATTTATTCAAAGGTGAGTATGGTCTACAAAAGTTCATGCAGAAAACAGCAAAATTGTCACATATGAAACGTAATCTTCCCAAATATTCAAATATGCCTAAAAATCTTTCATGGACTAGAATAAATAACTTTAACACTGTTTCTGGTTCTCCTAAGTTCATGACATCAAATTTATCCAATCCAAATAATCTTGGAACGAATAGAATAATTTATCGATCCGTCGGTGATCAATTAGGAAATTTTATTTCGTCCAGTCAAGATATTGCTCATGCTTATTCGACAAACCAGCTACCGAATTATTATGAACATAATGGGACAAGTCAAATGATGAATACTTGTTTACTTCCTCCTCACAGAAAATCCGAAATGAACATTTACAACAATAGATTAATGTCAGAGTTAAAAGATTATCAACACCAGAAAATTAAACATCACAGACCTTATATTTATCCAAATCACCGTTCAATTGGTACACTGGATATATATGAAAGTGAAGAATTCTTGTAAATTAACTGCAACATTTACGGACATTCTCTTTGTTTTTTTTAAAAACAATTCCGTGGAGGGAAATTCAAATACTACTTGGGCGTAATTACTAAATTGATCGTAACAGTTTCGAAAATATCAGATGAAACAATAGTCCCCCACAGTGTAACTACTTAAAAAATGTTCTTATATGTTTTAGCTTACTATGTATATGTAAAATAATTTTTTCGTTTTTTTTTGAAAAATAGTTCAAATATCTTTACCATTTTCATTTATAATCACAAAACATATTCGGAATTATTTCAGCTGGTATACTATCAGAAAACGATCCACATTATATACTCACTCTAGCGGTGTCGGCAAGAAAATTGGGACTGTTGACCTTATGATTCTTTTTGGAAATCATCAATTGTATTTTGCCGTATCTCAGTAATGTTCAACATTTGTATACTGGAAATGAAGTACACTGTTAAACTTTAGGTAGTTCATAACCTTATTTATAATGTAAAGAAATCTTTTATACAACAGCTATCCAGATTTCCAATTGGTGAATTTATATACATTTATATTAACCGAAATAAACTTTTACGTTCGTATAAGTGAGAAAAATAGAAAAATTTTGGCTTATTATAATAGATCAATAATTTTGCTTTTACGGCTAAGCGGATCGTAGTAGGATTCATGCGACATAATTTTCGACATCTAGACGACATAACTCCATCTGGACCCCTTCTAGGGTCATTGCTGGTTTCAAGCCTGAATACAGAAAAAGGGTTTGGTGTGAGTTTGGCAACTCCATCCTGTACAACCGCTTACGTGGAAACGCTCGCCGAAATAGGTCATTCAGACCACTTTTATTCTATACAGGGAGTTAAATGCTCTTCATATAGAAGAGCTGTAACATCTGGTAGTGAAAGTTGAGGTCCTTTATAAGTCATGAAGCCAATGACTTCTTTAATAATCATATAGGAAATGAATGCTGATAGGTACATGGAATGTTCTGGAAATGTGGGTAACCGAGAATATCATTCAAATAACAGCGGAAACGAGAACTAACAGCTTTTGGTGTCCTTTATTTTGTCGTCATTTAGATCGGACCATGTTTGTTGACGGGCTCTCCACCTTAGTGACCCGGAATCTGACTCCGATTCGATCGTATGAATGATCGTTGTCGAAATATATATGTCGCCTATCCTAGTATATAATCATCGACTTAAATCGCATTAGTCAATAACGGGATTAAATAAGTCAAATAACGATAATGGGTTTTGAATTCGTATATTTTGCATATGAAGCAAATGGAACAGAGTGAAGTGAAACGACGTGCACTGAAGATGGCGGGTAAGCCAACTCCTTTTAATCAAGCGTTGATCAATACTTATGGTCACACAAAAATGAGTTACAGACATGTGATGAGTAATAGGATAATAAATGTATACACATTTATGCGATCATACAAAAACGGTCAAGATTGATAAGCGAATAATTAACAAGGTCAAAATATGACTCAACTAGAATTAGTAGATTGGCCTGTCCGGAAGCTAGAACAAAGTATATGGGCTTACGTAATAAACGACACTACAAGCTTGACTCTACTTGAAATAAGTAAAATCCATTGGATACAAATCGGATAGTAGAGAACAGCTTTTGATGAAGTGTTGATGTACTCCGGTCGTGACTTAGAAAGTTGCTCTCAGGGATGAGGAGTCATATTGGTGCTTTCCAAAGAAGCACATAGAACGCCTATAGGATGAGAATCTCATAGATTTAGTATCATACAAGCAACCTCCAAAATAAAGAAGGGAAATGCTAAAATAAATGTTTTCTAGTACCATATGACTACCAATGATAGTGTTGAAGATAATGGGAATCAGTTTTATGAGAGGCTAGACTCCACTGCAGAGAAATGTTCGGGAAAGGACCTGAAGGTCCTGATCGTTGACCTAAACGCCAAGGACAGACTAGAAAACACTAGGTATGAAGTTATAGTGGGGCAGTACAGACTGAATGAATGACAATGAGGAGAAACTGGTAGACCTGTATGCTTTCAGTAAAATGTTTATAGGTGGTAGTACTTCCACAAACGCATACATAAAACACCAGGACCAGACAACATACCAGCGAAAACACTCAAGTAAGATATGTAGAAAACTGTGACTATGCCCTATACTTTCTTGCGAAATATTTAGAATGAGGTTCGTTCATCGGCAGGCTGGAAAGTAAGTTAACTCACCAAGTTATATTTGATTGGAAGTCACAGTGATTGTCAGAGATACGGAGGTATCGTGCGCTTTCTGAGTTTTGTACTAATCTTTTCTTTAATTCGCCTTTTTTCAAGCCCTATCCTTTCACACTACTCTACATTCTACCCTAGTTCACAAAGTACCTTCTGGTTAGACTCTAACCGCCAAAGTAATGCACTACAAACAACACAAGGCAAAGCTATAAATAATGTTGCCAAAACTGACTGAAGTGTCGGTGGAAGCCCAAATCAGGTATTAAGAAGCTGCAGTTTGTCATGGTGAATCATTTACCAGCCGAATTGTGACACTACAGATCAATGTTGAGCAATAAAATGAATGGTAACTTACTCAATATCAACTTTCTCGATTACCAGAAAGCACTTAACAGCATGGACAGAAGAAATTTGACGAATTCTCTCAGACGTTATGGAGTATTTGAGATTATCATTACCATCCTGCGAAACTCATACGATGGACAAAATTGCGAAGTTGTGTACAGGGGTCGGCCTCTGGGTAAATCTAAATAAGGATTGTTGTCAGAAGTAGTTTCTTTCATTTGTTTTTTCACTTACTACCGGTCACTAACTGGATCATGAAAACCTCCATATCTCAGTGACAGCACTGAATACAATAAACAGCTTGGGTGTATCCGGAAGATTTAGAATATGCAGGGAACCTAGCTCTTGTATCTCATGAACAGCAACAAACAAATTGCAGAACAACCCATGTAACATTAGTCTGCAACAGTAAGCCCTAACATACAAAAAGGGATAAGCAAGATCATGAAATACGAAATAATGAGCGCCAACCCAATCACACTGAATAGAGAATCTCTGGAAGTTCTGGAAAGTTTCACTTGCCAGGGGAAAATCAATAATGAACAGGGATGATCTGATTTGTACGTAAGTCCACAGATAAGCAAAGCAAGCGCAGCATTCCAATAATTGGAGAATACACTGATTTCAAAATAACTGTCAGCTAACAGTAAGGTCAGGATTTTTAATACGAACTCAAGACAGTTCTAATGTGCGAAACCGAAACTTGAAGAACTACGAAAACAATTATCAATGAAATACAGGTATTGATGAACAGTCATCTACGCATGATACTTCAGATCTTTTGGTCAGAGACCTCTAGCCATATTCAACTGTGGCAACCAAACCAGCTACCAGTTGAAGGGAAAAGTAAGAGTAACGCCGGTATATGTGACGTATTTTCCCGAAGCCACCATACTGCATCATTTGAGAAGTTCTGACGTAAAGGAAGAAGGATACTAAAAGTTACGTTGTGTGGAAATTCGGAGTCGGACCTCGAAAGCATGAGTAGGGCTCGCCGGAGACCAGAAAAAAGATCCTTGAACCCAGTCAGCCAGAAAATCCTGAACGATGGCCTATGTTTCGTAGTGTTAACAGGTTTGAGCAAATTATTATGGAACCATGGTTGGACGGAAATATACCATACCGCATGTTCGTAACACGATATCAGTTCTTTCATATGCGGTGACATATGAACTTGAATCACTTGGCAACATAATTTTTTGTGTCGAATTTTGCGTGAATGCATTTGGTAATTTGTAGTCGTGTGGTAATAACGTCACTGTTGGAAAGGTACTCCTCGACTAGAATGGTACGTCAATAAAAAAATAATTCGATTCTGAATAATTCCGATAAACATTATCGTTTCCATTAATCATTAATAAAACTTTAGGTACTAGGAACGTATCTTCTACACTGCGAAACGTTTGGAATATTAATTTTTGCCACCACTTCAGTTTCTGCTACAAACCTCCGAGAACGGAAGATATAAAATCACACTTCTGCTCTAACATCCATAAGCTACAGATCCAACGAAACAGGAAAAACAAATTTGTATATGTAATTCACAAGTTAACATGATTAGCATTCACAAACTAATTCAAAATATGCCATTTGATAACAGCAAGACGCCTTACTTTTCAATGCCGAACATTTTAAAAGCAGAGACTAAAGCAATAAGGCTTAATGTTGATTAGATCGACGTGAGAGATATTATGATCCTGTATGATCTTTTAGTCAAAGATACAGGATAACCAAACTTCAATTATTACATTAGCAGAGGAATCACCCAGTTGCCATCTGTGAATTTTACTCCTTAGAGCGAAAAAGGTTTACCTTCAATGGTTCGCCGTAAGCTGAACAATAGTATAAATCCACTTAAAGCCCACTCAGTATTTATTGGTTATTTGATGAAACGTTACTTCAAATAGTGAATGGTGGTGGTGTTTTTAAGTGATGGTTGATAACAATACGCTTCGTTTCCTGTCAGGTTCTAGCCATCGTGCTTGAAGTATTTTAGCTTGGTGAATAACGTCTTAAATCAGAAAATCATATTCAAACTGATGGCCTAAAATTTCCAGGCTTAGTTTTAGCGAATACAAATCAAACTTATTTACTTTTCATATCAATAATACGATACAAAAGCCAGTTGTGATATGAACGACGATCAACCAGACAATCTGCAAGTGTCTGTACAAAAGCCTTAAGAGTTAACAAGCAGATCACAGTCAGTTGTTTTTATATATTAGGTTCTCATACTAAACTAGATGACCTTAATAATTTCCAACCGATGAACTTCCTTTCTATTCCTTCCTAGATGACGAAAGTTGATTCAGAATCGCTCACAAAATAATTCGTTATTATTCGAACTTTCGCAAAGGTAGAGTAGCATTATCATATGCATCACAAACTTATGTGTGATATGTGTGGTAAGTGTTGTAAATCCCTATTTCGGCTTGACCTT